AGAGAGAGAGAGAGAGAGAGAGAGAGAGAGAGAGAGAGAGACCCTCGTCCCGCCCCCTCCACCACTCACAAATTAAAAAAAAGTCTTTAATATCTTTCCAGCAGAGCCTCCATTGCTGCGGCGCAGAGAGCAGACAGATTGACTGAGGGGCCTTTTGAAGAAGTGGAGGAGGATCCAAACCAACCTGCAGCTTCAGGGAGAGAGGAGCTGAACGCATGAAGCTCCTCTGACATCGTGACAGCTCGTGGATCTGTGAGACTCCCTCTCCTGATTGTGTAATACAGGATTTTTTTTCTTTCTTTCTGCAAAGCGGCCAAACCCGTGAGGAGAGAAAGGAGCAGAGGAAGAAGAGGAGGAGGAGGAGGAGGGGGAGGAGGAGGAGGGGAAAAACCAGGGGCATTTTGCTACGTTCGTCCAATCTCGTTTTTTTTTTTTTCTTCCTCTTTCATGGCGCAAGGGCTTGCACCCGAACCGGACTGTCCTGGGTGTGAGAGCGCCGCGGCGGATCTGGACCTCCAGGCAGCATCAGCACCAGCAGCATCCTCCTCCTCCTCCATCATCATCACCCGCGGCTGCTGCGGCGCCCACACCGACTCCTCGTCCTCCTCCTGCCGGCTCCATGTCGAGTGATGGTCGGCTTGCTCTGCTGGATGCTCCCCGCTCTCTCCGGATCGTCGACGGACCGAACCTCCTCTGACCGCAGACCCCCATTTTCGGCGGAAACCTGCCCAGAGGTAGTATAGGGCTCCATATGGAAACTGGGGATCAAAATTTTAGGAAAAAGCTAAATCTAAGCTGTTGATTTATAATTATTTTTCCATTATTTTGCAGTTGTTTTTAGCGTCTCTATACTTCCTGTGAGATATTGCGCCTGTTAATGAATTAATTTAATGGTTTCCTGATCCTCCGCTTTGATTTGTGGGTTTTCTTTTGGGCTGTTATAAAACACTCAGATTTCATTTCCTGGCTACACGACTCGAACCGGTTCATTTGTTTGTTATTTRCTGTTAAATTGATAGATTTTGGCTTTCATTTCTGCCCCCAGCAGCTTTTCATCCCGTTTTTTGACCAATTAACCCCTCTAGAATAATAATAATAATTGCCTAATAACACTATAGCTTCGGGTATAGCTCTGGATTAAAGTAATATTGAACTGTTTTACTGTAAGTCTGCCATCACCTGAGCCCCCGGGGATCCAGCTTTAACAAACAGGTTGTTCTGAGGGTCTGCAGACCTCATTTCAACCAAGTCTTTAGGTTGAATTCAGCTTCAGTGTTTTTTATTCTCGTTTTGCTGCTGCAGTGGCTCCATCTGCAGCCACAGGCCTCCCTCCATCCTCTGCGTCCCGCTTCTCCTCTCCTTTATCTAAGAAAAGTGAGATTTAACCAGGAGGGGGGGAGAAACAGCCCTGCCTCCCCGCACCCCATCCCCAGACCCAAACCAGCCCCTCAGTTTTTTCCTCCTGTTGTGGTCCTCACCCAAACGCAACCATAAGGTTCCTACCGCATCCTCCTCCTCCTTCCTCCCTCTCCTTCCGCTCCAGTCTGACCCGCTTTTTCGGTTTGGTTTGGTCCCGCAAATTTTCAAATATTTACTTCCTGTACATCAAGAGGAAAGGGGGTCCCCCTTTCATGGAATGCGGAAACATGGGCCTGTTCGACCGCGGAGTCCAGATGCTGCTGACCACGGTGGGCGCCTTCGCGGCCTTCAGCCTCATGACCATCGCGGTCGGCACGGACTACTGGCTGTACTCCCGCGGCGTCTGCAGGTCCAAATCCATGAGCGAGAACGAGACCAGCAAGAAGAACGAGGAGGTGATGACCCACTCGGGCCTGTGGAGGACCTGCTGCCTGGAAGGTAGGAGGATGTTTCTGCTCTGAAGTTGGGATCTGTCAGACTGTGGTTCAGAACTTCATTTGGACTGGTTCTGGTCAAACTGATGATGTGAGGAGCAGAGGCGGATCTAGAGACTTTTAATGGGGG